GGAATTTTACCCAATTAATTCATTACAAATCCTACAATGTGATTTCCTGGATTCTTTCCCCCCCATCCTGTCTCTCATAGTTGAAGTGTACCTAGGATGAAAATTACAGGCCTCTCTCATCTTTTTAAGTGGGAGAACTTGCACAATTGGTGGCTGACAAAATACTTTTTTGCCCCACTGTATATCCACGTTTCAGATATTTATTTAGCAAAAACAAATCATATATCATGTGTAAACATTTTATAATAAGCACCAATAGTCAACCTTACAATATTGTTGGTATACCAATATTGAGGTATTTGGTCCAAAATATTGGAAAACAAATTGATTCTCTCCATATCGCCCTTTCAGAGCCTTAATAGTCAAGTCAAAATCTATTCTATTGGGAGACAGTAAAGCAAAGGCTTATAAAAGAAGTGATGTGATCACGTCCCTTGGATCTGTTTTAGTTACACTTTAGTGTGTGTGTGTGTGTGTGTGTGTGTGTGTGTGTGTGTGTGTGTGTGTGTGTGTGTGTGTGTGTGTGTGTGTGTGTGTGTGTGTGTGTGTGTGTGTGAAGGTGAAGTCAAACAGACATAATCACAGCACGACCGTTGGCTCCCTGAGAACCAATGGGAAAACAGCTCAGCCTCAGAGCCGTGGAACACAGGCCGGTGGGAAGGTGGGACTGAAGGACTCGCAGATCGGTGGACACGCAGGACTGAAGGACAGTGTGGTGTGTCTGACCAGCGAGCAGCTACAGCACATCCTCCACAGCGTCCACACCTCCAACCAGAGCCAACACACACCAGAGGATCCCAGGAGCCAGGGTAGGAGTAGTGATGCTAGAATGAAAGTGATAGCAGTGATTAGTAATGATGGTATCAAAGCAAAGTTTAACCCCAAAATCAGAATTAAAAGTGTTTAATTAGGCCTCACCATTTCAACTCCATTAATGTATATTCATATGTATTATACTGACAAGTATTATACTGACAACCTCACCAGTTTTACAATGTTTTTAAGTCTCTTTTAAACTCTAGTTTGGTTTTACTGTTTGTTTCAGTCTCAGTGTTTCCAGCAGCACCAAAAAACCAACAGGCATGTTTTTGTAAAGAAAGCTAGTGGAGAAAGTAGAAAACCAATAGCTAGTTCTGGTTGTACTGTTTGGAGTTGGTACAAATCTTTAACGTTTGGAAATTGCAAAACAAATTCTGTTTCAGTTTTCAATATAAGGAATATGCTTGAATTGCAAAATACTACTGATAATATTCTTCTTCTTACCTGTTGAGCTATTTATCAATCTAGATGTCTTGCTGGGATTTGCAGACTGTTGGAAATAATGGATTTAGATGTTTTTGCCTTCTATAGAATAAAATGGAACTAGATGGCACTCAGCTTGTGGTGTCAAAGCACCAAAGAAACTCAACAGGAATCATGACCTGTTTATTAGTAGCAGTTTCAAGTAGGAACTACTTTCTTTCAACCAAACGAGCATGAGCCACTTGTCCTTGAGTAGATGCAAAATATTGGCTAAACCGGGTAATTATGTCTGGAAATGACATTGCTGTTCAGTGTTTCAAAAGTAGTGCTTGATGTACCACAAGCCAAGTGCCACCTTTTCCATTTATTTATAAGAGAAAGCAGACATCTATACGACAGTTTTCCCTCCAAAACAATCTATGTATAGCACTTCAGTTGAGTGGTACAAATATGTAACTTTACATTTTTTGGGGGGGAACTATCCCTTTAACAGACTCCAAAACTGGATCCTTAATAAATGGAGGAGGGGGAAGTGGAGAGATGAAGGAGGAAGACAGAGGAGGAGGAACAGATAATACTGCAACATCTCAGGATAAAGACAACAGGTGAGCAGCCGACATCAACAAGATTTGACATGAAACGATTTTTGATTTCTCTTTAGCGTACAAACGTTAGAAGGATTATTTGAATATATTTATAATTAATAGTTTGCTATTTAGAAAATGTACAGTAATTTACATATTTGTAGGTGTAGATCCAAACACTAGAAGTTCATGTCAGCCTCAGTATTCTCCAATGAATGTGTAGAAATCTGTGTATGTAAAGTAGTGGTTATAAACAGAACTGCTGTTCAGGTTGTCTGGATGTCCGTTCAGCTGGCTGGAAGAGCGACAGACCCTCAGCAGAGCAACCATCGACGCCAAGAAGGCTCAGTGGAGGAGAGAACTAGGTACACACACACACACACACACACACACACACACACACACACACACACACACACACACACACACACACCGTGTAGTGCATATATATGAATTATACTGTCAACCCTACAGAGAAGTATCACCAACTTTACCAATTGTTTACGTTTTTTTGCATCCTAGTTTTGGTTTTATGAAACATTAGTTTTTCCAGTTGCTCCCAAAAACAGAAAGAGGTAGAGATTATCTGATGGAAGAATTTGAACACTTAGTAGCTAAAGTTACTTTTTTTTTTTCAAGTTAAACCGTTTTTGGCTTTTTGTGCAAAATCTAGCTACATTTTACAGTTTATTTAAAAGTTTACGAGTGAATTTGAATATACTGAATTTGAAACTTGTTTGATTTTTTCACATATACTTGTGTGTCGTCTTTGTGTATTAGATGAGCAAGTGGCTCTAAAGCAGCAGCAGAGTTTAGCTCCTGGCAGACTTCAGGTACGGCATGAAAATGTTTTTATCTTTTGAGTTAAACTTTATTATTGGTTATTTTTCGTTATTGTGGAAAAAGTGAATAAGCTAATATGTTTCATCCATTTAATTATTCAGACAAAATGAAGTACAAAGTACAAGTTATTTTCATGGCCTGGCTCTTGGCCATAACAAAGAACGTGGAAAGGACACGATATAAGGAAAGATATTTATTAAAACAAACTCAACTTAACAAAAGAGCTACCACTAGTGATGGCAGTTTGACACTGAAGCTTCGAACGGAGCTTCAACCCTGGACTTCCTATTCCATAGAAGCAGTGCTTTGAAGCTTGCTTCAAATCACGTGACATGTGACGTCCGAAGCAGCAACTGCTTCAAATCACGTGACATGTGACGTCCGAACCAGCAACTGCTTCATTTCCTGAATGAATCAACTCACTGGTTCGCCGTCCAATCAGGTGATTCAATGCACTGCCTCGTCTCGATTCTGACAGGTGACAGATTGAAACAGTTTCAAATTTGAGCGCTTCAACACTTTATAACCTCTCTAAACAATGCGCAATGTGTGGGTTGTTGTCGGAGTTTGCATTGTTGTTGTTGGCATTGCATTGGATCATTATAGCAAGCCAGGAAGAAAAATAGGTCGTTCTGGCTCGTGAAACACTTCGAAATGTGGAGAAGTTGTGAACAAAAAGACAATGAGTAATATAAAAACACTTCGATGGTCTAAGGAATTGATAGCCCAGTGGATAGAGCCGGCGGGCAGGATGCGGCAATATCCTCCGCGCAGCTGGTTCAAAGCTCGGAATAGTTAAACTTTGAATCATTGCTTTTCAACTTTAATACTTTAATAACTGATAAAAGGCCCTCTCCGCCTAAAAAAATGTCAAGCACTCTCTAGTCTCTTCTCAATAACCCAATACACACTATTATCAATCTTTAATTGCAAATAGAACATGATATTCAGTCTTAGTGTGTGTGTGTGTGTGTGTGTGTGTGTCGAATATTTTTCAAGGCAAAGATACGTTAAACCCACTGCAGCCTTGCACTTCGCCAGGAGAGGTCGCTGTAACTGAAGCTTCGAGAAATGAACCTATTTCCGACACAATTGTCCAAGTGGTTCGACGCTTCATTCAAAGCTTCATTTTGCCATCACTAACTACCACAATGGGATTTGTTAGTCAGTAAGATCAGTGTAGGTGTGGGTGTGTGAACATGGTGTGGTGCAAGGTGTTGAATGCCAAACTAAGATGAAGGTAAACCAAAGCATAAATAAGGTAGCTGCTCTCCAAACAAATCGTCC